TTTAGGAAAGTTAAGGTCCGAATGGCCAGTAAGGTGAAAAGTTCATGGCACAATTTGCAACTGAAAAAACATTTTAGTCTATTCATCTCCCCAGTAACACGGGTTACCTTAAAGGGTTTTCAATCTCATAGAAACCCCATATGTCTTGGGCGCTTCCCCAATGTAGCCACCTTGTAGACAGATCATGGCAGGACTCGCTGGACGCTTCCCCACTGCAGCCACCTTGTTCACAGGTCATGGCAGGACTTGCTGGCACCATGGATCGATCGAAGTATCTGAAGTGTAGATGTGGTCCTCTTCTCCTTGCAGCTGTGAGCTGTGAGCCCCATCTAGAATCGCCATAACCGAGTTCTGTTAACAGAAAAATAAGAATGGATTAATGAGTTTTTCTCCCTTTGTCAGCACTCTGGACCTGTAATAAAAAGAAACCTGAAATGCATAGAAATATATACAGTGACACTACAACAACATAGCCCCCTACAGCAAAAAGACGACGACGATGTATCCTGCGAAGATTCCTGGGCGACGATTTTTCGAGGAGAGAAGCGAAGGCTTTAGCTGGCCAGCTTTGAGAAACGTCGAATCCACCGTCCAGACGACTGCGTGTGCAGGAAACAATTTGTCGATGAGCGATGCGTTGGCTTGGGATGAGGAAGATATTCGGAGAAATGCGAGTCGACTCCAGTGTCCTTTTTGCTTGATACGGGGCGCAGCACATGGTATCCTTCTTGTTCCTCCAGATCATTCTGCGTTGAATGAACGCAATTTCAAATTTTAGCGCTTTTATACCTTCAGTGATATATAGTCACATAGTGGCGTTCCGGTTGTCACTAATGGTCTACTTGTTCATAGGGGGTGGCGTTTGATAGTGGTGCGCAAATTTGATTATAATATATTATTAACATATACATTTTATTTACTTTTTTCTATTTAGATTATTCTGTTCATCATTTTATTTTATAATAAGAGTAATAAGTACTAAGCAGCAGCTTCAAAATGTACCGGCAAATTTGATGACGCTTTCTTAGCAATATACCTTCTCCCCAAAATTATGACAGCCACGATGTCCGTTAAACTGGTACAGGTAGCCGTGAACTTCTCGCAGGCCCGTAAAGTGCGTTTGTATTCGAACACTTATCCAATTTTTAAGGCAGCCCGATGGGACAAGATTGTATCGTCTTGAAGTGGGTCAATTGAAAGTACACAAAACTGAGCATATACAGCCTCCCCAGTACTCTAAAACACATTTTGTAATCAACTGACGTGTAATTCTGAGAAAAGAGGTCATATGAAAAATCTAGATTATTTTATACCAAGCAGTAGAAACAAATTAATATTTTTGCATATAAAACGCCTACAGATATTGATAATAATTAACAACGGACGCCTCCCTTCATGGCTTCGGGTTATCAGTACTCTGATGCCAGTAGCATGAGTAGAGAGAAAAAAACGAAAAAATAATGAATAAGACAATAAGATAGAAATTGAAATGAAACATTTCTCATTGATACGTTTACTTTTTCCCATTTTAATACACGTTTAAAAAACATCCTTTCACATCTCCCTGGCGAGCATACAGCCTAAGTTGCCGAACACTAGAGCTTGCATGCTAATGGGTCAATTGCTCATTATCAATGTTTTCATGACCAGGCACACAACAGCTCCATTTGTGTTTTTTCTTTGACTCGACTCGGTGTGAAAATCGAGCTCAGGACTTGCTTCGCCTGACACGAGAAAACTCACTGATTCTCAACATATAGGTCCATTTAACACATTTTAATTCATTCAGAATTAACCAGAGAAAATTTGTTTGTCCAAGTGGAATTTTACTGACATCAGTTTTACAACTTAAATCACTGAATAAAAAAATAATTATTATTATTATCATTATTATAATAACTTCACCAGTTCTGACACAAAAAAAAAGAAAAAGAAAAAGGACATGAACGAACTAAAATTTAAACCATTGTTACTGTTGCTTGCAGCTCCATCTCACATGCTTCAAATGATCTCGTTTATTTTGGCTAAAGTATACGTATTTTAATACGTAAATTAAAATTCAAGAAGCGAGCATGATTTTTCAGAAAATGCCTATGTTTAAATGTTTATGTTTATTTTAATTAACAATAAATAGATCGCTGCTGCATAAGCGGTGTCACCTGGCTTTTATAAAAGAATGAAAAAAAACTGTGAGATCTTTTGAGGTCTTTTTAGTTGTTTGATGTTTTTGTAATATTTTAGCCATTTAAATGCGAATACATACGTGGTATATATACAAATAAATTAAAAGTAATTTATGAGAATAACACCAACAGTACATGTTATCTACAACTGTACGGGCATCATCTCGTCTTACGGTCAGCTGCCATTTTTGAACTGTTAATGGCCGCATTCAGAACAATAAAATCAAACTTTATTCTCTAAACAACAAACGGAGACCCCAGTGCTTTCCTTCCCCCTCCCTATTAAAAACACAATCTGACGGTTCTGGCAACTAAGTGCTAGAATCGTTTTTTTGAAAAACAACACTAGGCCTAGTTTCTAATTGTCAGAATTGTTTATCTTAATTGAATAAAATCAAAGTTGGTCAACCATTCAACAAGGCGAGACACCCAGGGGCTGACATGTGTAATGTAGAGATCGATCGGCGGTCATGTCGTCCTCCCCGCACGGCGAGGAGAGAGACCGTAACACCCTGCCCAGCTTCCGCGGTGAAAGTTATCTGTGCACCGTAGACACGGATCGGCGGTGGTATCGGGCTCCCCGCACGGCGGAGATTGGCCGTAACACCCTGCTCCGGCTTCCACGGTGGGGATTACCTAGATGCTAATCGCCAGTCGATTCTTCATCCGTCCACTCCGGTTTCCTACTTCAAAGACGATTCTGGTTTCTCAGCGTTAGAATCGTTTTTTTTTTTCTTTAACGACACCAGTGTCTGGTAGCCCAAATCGTTTTTGAAAAATGACACTCGTTTCCAGTCGCCAGGTTCATCTTTCGAAAAACGAGACTGGTTCCTGATTGAAAATACTTTTCTGTCAAAATGATGAAAGTGACGATCTCAAAATGATGTAAGCACCTCGCAAAAAAAAAAAAAAAAAAAAAAATT